CCCCCCCCCCCCCCCCCCCCCGCATGCTTTTTCTCTCTTCCCCAGCCCTTCCCCAACACGGACATAAATTCCCAAGCCCTAATGGAACTCAATATAAACCACTAACAATGAGTAAGCTAAACTGGACGCCGGTCCGTGGGTCAGAAAGAATACAGGGCTGGAAAAAAGATGAGGAAAGTTCTGGAAAAAAAAAGACACTCCCTGAGGCTCCCCACCCCCATCGACACCGCCTCATTTCCCCCTCCCTACAGCAGGCAGCCATGATGGCGGGCGCAGAAAAAGGCCGCGGCGCCATTTTGTCCACACACACGCGCGGACAACAGCTCTGGGAGCCGTTCACCCACTCTTTGGAGAGTAGCAGAAAAACATCCCCGGCTTTAAACCCAGAGTTGGCACCTACCGCCATAGTCCAGAGTCCTTGCCGCTAGTGCGGCGCCTCCACTTGCCGCTCTCAACAGTACCGGCCGACCCGACGCTTCGCCACAGACTAAATCGCTCGCGCGAGAGACCCGGATGGCACAAAGGGGGATGAGGCCCGGTGCGTCGCACAGCTTGCTGGGAAAAAAAAAAAATGGGTGGTGATAAGAGTCTCTATAGCAACGTGTTTGGAAGATGTGATTGGTTGTTCTTTTGAAGGGGGCGTGTAAGGCCTGGAGGAGGGCGGCTCCAGAAGGTACCCTTAGAATGCGCAGCCTGGAAATCGAAACGGGTGGAATTTAGGGTGGGGCGACTTCCTATTTCGATTCTAAAGCAGTCTTGGCCTCCTCCGGCCGCCGTAAAAGGGGTTGGGTTTGTGTTCTCCCGCCAATTTAAACCTGTGGGCTAGAACCTGAAGAGATTAGGGACAGTTGTCGGGGGAAGGAAGCGGGGCGGTAAATTTGAGTGTTCTTCTTTAGTTTCTGCAGTTGCAGGTGAGGAGGGGGAAACGCGCTGCTGTAAAGACCTGGGGGTGGGTTCACGTCGAAGGAATAGCGGCCTCATCTCACCTCGGGGCGTTTTTCCCTCAAGACGCTGGCGGGAGAGAATTTGAAGCCGGTTCTTGCTGGTCTGTTGCCCAGCTGGGAGCACTTATGCATGGGGGCCTAATTGACACTTTTATTTCGTTTAATTTGCTAATCGGTTCTCCACCCGGAGTGACCTCAAATCGTTACTCGAATCAAGTCACTCGTCTGCTTAGTATCTTTTACCCTGCGGCACCGAGCATAAAAATCCAATCTTGAAGTCGAGGATTCGTTAGCTCCTGCACTGTTTCATTTTTGCTGTGGCCTGGCACCTGCCCCAGACTCGTTCCAGGCTCTGAGCCTGTGCATTCGGCCTGCGTCACTTTTCCCTCCGAGCTTTGCATAATTGGCTTCTTGCTCTTGGCCTTACACTCTCGGTAAGAACTCTTTCCCGTGTTTAGAAACGTCCTGTGACCGTAGCCTAAATCTTCCCTGTTTCCACCAATGAAAATAATAAGTCACCTAACACATAAGACTGAGTGCTTGCCGCGAACCAAGCCTTGTTCTGTGAATATTTAAAACTCCTCTAACAACCTTTGTGGGTAGGTACAACTATGTCTCTGTTACAGAGAATTGAGGAACAAAATCCAGGACGAGTGTCGTAAACATGAAGGAGCACCAAGTCAAAAATCATTCCTTCCCTGTGCTGTACATTCTGTAAATTTTAAAACCTATTTCTGCTAGCACTTATCCAAACAGTTGTAATTATTTGGAGGTTGTTCCCCACCAGCGATCGATCTAGGGATTGTTTTCCATCTTTGTATTTGATCCCATACATACGATGAGTTATATAGTCTTTGCTGATGAGATGTTCAAGCGACTGTCCTGGGGTTATATGTATACTCTTTGGTGCAGTCAGAAACCCAATCCAATTTTTCCCTTCTTATTTTCATTTACTGTACGTTACTGGAAACATTATAACAGACTTTTTTTTAAAGTTCAGCTGGAACCTTAACCATCCTTGGATATCCCAGATAGTCTGACTTCAGAGCTTCCACTATTCATTGCTATCCTGCTTAAAGGTTTATTTCAAATGAAAACTTGTTACAATTTCGAGCTAGGCACACAAAATACTAGAAGCTCTAGGATACATTGCTGAGATCAGATTTATGTTCCTAAACCAATACATTGTTCTCTAATGATAATCATAGGTGTAGTTCCATTTATCTTATTGGTCCAAAGTAGCTAGTGACTGCAGAAATAACACAAAGAGCAGTTTTCATTGGATTTATATATATATGTATACGTATACATATGTATGCATCTATATTTATAGGGACATATATATCTATATGTCCTTTTTGTTAAAACTTTTTGTTTCCCAAGGAACTGTGTTCTATGCAACAATATAATTTGTTCTCTTATTTTACATACTGTCCCAGGGAAAGTAGTGGTTCCTGACCCAGGAAGACAATCTCAGAAACATGTGGAATGATATTGAGTTGCTGACAAGTGATGATACAGGAAGCGGGTACCTAAGTGTTGGCTCAAGAAAAGAACATGGAACCGCTTTATATCAAGTTGATTTGCTAGCGAAGATCTCCTCTGAAAAGGTAATGATTATGATGCTATTTTCACTCAAAACGTTTTTGCTAAATACTTAGTAAGCCTAGTAGCCACATGGTAAATGTTCTGTAAATGCTGACAGCACTTTCTCGAGGAATCAAGTTTCAGTCTCACGTTACTGGAAATTTCCATCTGAATTCTCCCACTATTAAGTTCACTATTTCCAAAACTGAACATTTCATAGCTCTTCTTGACGTTTGGACATACAGAATGTATATAAAGTGATATAAAAAGTACCCACCACCAGCTCAGGAAATAAAACATTACCAGTAGAGTTGAAGCCCCTGAGGTCTCTTCCTTTTCCCATGCTCTCCCATACTCCACCCATGAGTTAAGCACACTGCTGAGGTTACATTTATCCTTTTCATGCATTTCTTTCTACGTTTCATTTTCTTCATTTATTTATTTAAAATTTTTTAAGTTTATTTTTATTTTTGAGACAGAGAGAACGAGTGTGCGCATGCAAGTGAGGGAGGGGGAAAGAGAGAGGGAGAGAGAATCGCAACCAGGCTGCACACTGACACTGTATAACTTGATGGCAGGGTTCAAACCCATGAACCACGAGATCATGACCTTAGCCGAAGTCAGACACATAACCCACTGAACCAACCAGGCACCCCTTTCCTCTTTTAATAATAATGCTACCATTCTCAGCCCAGGCTTGAAACCTTATTGTTTGAATCCTATAGAAAAACTTAGATTCTCCTTTTCAGTAATTTGCTTCTGATAAAGTATTTTTTTGTAAACAAAGGTTCTTTTTTTGTAGAGAAAGTACATCTGATTTTTTTCTCAGAGTATTATAGCCCAAGTTCCCTCCACTTTTCTTAGTCAATGTAATATTTCATTCTCTAAGAAAGAAGGTTTAAATGAAATGAAGAAGAGACAAATTATTAGAAAGAAGAGTTGCATTTTTTACGGCTTGAAAGGCAGGACCTCTTTCTGGGGACCTTACTCATAAACAGAGGAAATACTTCCTAACTCATTCTGTAAGTCCAGTATTACCCTAATATCCAAACTAGGCAAAGATATTATAAGAAAAGAAAACTGCAATATTTTTCTTGAATAGAAATGCAAAAATCCTCAACAAAATATTACCAAATTGAATTCAACAATATATAAAAAAAAAGTTACATACTGTGACCAAATAGGATTTATCCCAGGTATGCAAGGTTGCTTAGACATTCAAAAATCAATTAATGTTTAGGTGATGGTTGTAGTAATTACCACCTTATTTTGGTAATCATTTCGTAATACGTATCTATATTAAATCATCACGTTGTACACCTTAACCTTACACAATGTTAGATATAAATTGTATCTCAGTAAAGCTGGAAAAATCGGTGTAATGCTTCACATCAACAAACTATTCTTTGATAAAGAATATCTATAAAAAACTTACAGCTAATATCATACTTAGTGGTAAGAAACTAGAAACTTACCCAGTAAGATCAGACCAAGGCAAGGTATTCCTCTCACTACTTTCCAACATCATACTAGAAATGTCAGCTAATTCAATAAGACAAGAAAGAGAAAGAAGAGGCATACAGGAAGAAAGAAAGCAAGCTGTCTTGGTTTACACATGACTTGATTGTCTATGTAGAAAATCTGAAAAAACTCCTGAAACTAAAAAGCAATTATAGGGGTGCCTGGGTGGCTCAGTCGGTTAGTTAAGCATCCAACTTCAGCTCAGGTGATGATATCACGGTTTGTCGGTTTGTGGGTTCCAGCCCTGTGTCAGGCTCTGTGCTGACAGCTCAGAACCTGGAGCCTGCTTCAGATTCTGTGTCTCCCTCTCTCTCTGCCCCTTCCCTGTGCATGCACACTCTCTCTCTCTCTCTCTCAAAAATAAACATTAAAAAATAAATGAACAAAATAAAAATCAGTTATAGCAAGCTCGCAGGATATAAGGTTAATATGCAAAAGTCAGCTGCTTTCCTATATACCAGCAATAAACAAGAAGAATTTGAAATTAAAAACAATCCAAAATAATCTTTGTGACCTTGGATCAGGCAAAGCTTTGTTAGATATGATGTCATAGGGCGCCTGGGTGGCTCAGTTGGTTGAACATCCGACTTCAGCTCAGGTCATGATTTCACAGTTTGTGAGTTCCGGCCCCATGTCAGGCTCTGCGCTAACAGCTCAGAGCCTGGAGCCTGCTTCAGATTCTGTGTTTCCCTCTTACTGTGCCCCTTCCCCACTCATGGCACAGGCTCTCTCTCTTTCACTCTCTCAAAAAATACATAAACCTTAGGGGCGCCTGGGTGGCGCAGTCGGTTAAGCGTCCGACTTCAGCCAGGTCACGATCTCGCGGTCCGTGAGTTCGAGCCCCGCGTCAGGCTCGCATCAGGCTCTGGGCTGATGGCTCGGAGCCTGGAGCCTGTTTCCGATTCTGTGTCTCCCTCTCTCTCTGCCCCTCCCCCGTTCATGCTCTGTCTCTCTCTGTCCCAAAAATAAATAAACGTTGAAAAAAAAAATTTTTTTTAAAAAAATACATAAACCTTAAAAAAACAAAGCAATAACGGGATATCACTGCACACCTATCAGAATGGCCAGTATCAACAACACTGACAACACCCAATGCTGACAAGGATGTGGAACACCAGGAACTCTCATTCCATGCTGGTGGAAATGCAAAATGGTACAGCCCACTTTGGAAAACTTTGGGGCAGTTTCTTACAAAACGAAATTATTCTCATACCCTACAATCCAGCAGTTGGACCCCATGGTATTTACCCAAAGGAGTTGAAACTAGTATCTATACAAAACCTGCACATGGATGTTTATAGCAGCATTATTTAAAATTGGCAAAACTTGGAATCAACCAAGATACCCTTCAGTAGGTGAATAGATAAACTGGTACATCCAGACAATGAATTCTTATTCAGCACTAAAATAAATGAGCTATAAAGCCACAGAAAGGAGGAAACTTAAGTATCTATTACTAAGTGAAAGA